TGTAAACATTAAGTTAATTATAAGTTATCTGAACCACCCATTGTATAATAGAAATGAATTGTATGTATATGAAGTACCCGGTGACCTGTCAAAAAAAGAGCCGGTAACCATTTTGTAAAACATCCGACATTATTCACTTTCCTGTTTAGCAAGCGAGAAGAACAAAACGTGTAATTATTATAACATATCCATTATTTGTTATTTTTTTGTATGTTATTAATGACGAGAACGAGTATATTGTCATCCCGTGTAAATTTTGTTAGTTTTCTTCTGTTTCACTAATGATACCGTTTAGCGTTTTCGTTAAGAGAAAAATATTGTATGTGTTTAGCGGCTTTTCGTTATTTGCACTTTTGATGGTTACAAATTTTTGGGAGTCAATGTTTTTATTATTATAGAGATTTTCCGTAATTGAGGTTACGCTAGGAAAAAGCGTTGGGTTGTTTAAGTCTAAGTCTTTTTTTATTGAGTTTTTCTTTTTTCTGGAAGGGGGATCCATATAGACAATCCCATAAAAGCCTACTTCATGGATAATATGATACGAGACTCTTTGATTCGAGAGAGAGCTGTCAAAACTCGCATTTTTTATAACATTTGTCATCGATGCCACTGCTGAAAAACATTAGATTGGGTGTTTAATAAATTATACAAAACACTAAATTAAACACTTTGAAAATGCATACATATATAAATGGTAAAATGCAAAATCATTAATTAATTTACATAAACATTTATTTTGCCAAAATATATTCGCACAGTTCAATGAAATTTCATTTCACATTAATGTCAAATAATCAAGGAACGCGTTTGAGAGAAAAAGAAGCCAATGCTAAAGTCTCGTATCATATTTTCCATGCCTACTTGTTGAAAAGCTAAAATTAACTGAAGTGTTGCGGATTTTGCAGCTTCTGTTATTAATTCTTCTTCTTGAAAAATGTGTATCGCCTTTTCTCTGCGTACTTAATCAGATCCAAATTTATAGGTGACAGACACCAGCAATGCGAGTTAGCGAACAGCTGATTGGTGGATTGGATTAATAACATTTCAATTTGATTAAACAAAAATGGATAGAAGACAAGCATTGCGATTGTTAGGCGCACAGATGGTGCAAAACCACAATTTGTTAAACAAAAGTATAAATACATTACTATTAAAACTGCTTCAAAAGATTAAATTGATGAATGAATTGTCAAAAGCGATACTGGAAAGTAGTACCAAAGTGGCGTTTTCAGAAATAAGGGAAAGACGTGCCTGGAAATTTGTGAGTTTAATATATTGTATATTGGATATTAATATTTTATACCCTTCATTTATATATGTTATTAATAAAAGGACCGCAATGGCACTTTTTGGGAGTACGAAGAAAGATGGATGACATCTGATTTAAAGAAAGCTTTCGTGTAAATAAAGAAGTTTTTCACAAAGTATGTGAAAAGGTTAAGGAAATCGGAAAGTCCAACAACAACATGCGACTTTGAATTCCACTTCAGAAAAGAGTGGCTATTGCATTGTATGCGTTAGGTTCTTCAGAGGAATACAGAACTGTAGCAAGTTTATTTCGCGTAGGACGCACCACAGTTGGGGAAATAATTGTGGATTTTTGCAAAGCTGTGTGCACAAATTTATCGGATTGCATCAATTCCTATCCCCCAAACACAGAAGAAGTAGAGCGAAATGTACAAGGTTTTGCACACCTTGGTTTTCCGCAATGTTTTGGAGCAATAGATGGCTCCCACATTGAGGTTCAGCCGAAAAAGGAAGATGCGATCGATTATTACAATTATAAGGGGTGGTATTCGGTTGTTCTGCTGGCAAGTGGCGACTATAGGTAAATTTCATATACTTATTGTAAATATTTATATAAATCCTTTCACTATTTTATAGATCAAAATTTACATATATACATGTTGGGTCAACTGGAAGAAATAACGATTCTTACATTTTTGAAGGTAGTTCCTTAAAGAAATTTCATGAAACCGCTAATATTTTTGCTCAGAGCATCAAAATGATTGGAGATCTTAACGTCCCCGTATTACTTATTGGCGATTGTCGCGTTATATGATGAAGCCTTTCCATACTCACCAAATCAACCAGTGTTAAAAAAATATTTAAATATCGTTTATCCAAATGTCGTAGAGTTATAGAGAATGCTTTTGGTCAACTACAAGCCCGATTTAGAAAAATTGGCAGAAGTTTACCGGTAGATCCAAAAAACATAAACGTTATTATATATGCATGCTGTATTTTGCAAAATTTTCTAAACATTGAAAATGATGAAATTCCTTCTTCTTGGATCCAAGATGCTGCAGATATAATTACAGAAATTCAACCACATCACACTACAAGAGCTGGGGAAAATGATGTAACAGCATCGGCTATTAGATGCGCAATAACTCTGAGTTTTCGTGAGTATAGATGTATGGAGTAGCAGAAAACAAATATTACTACACATAATTACAAACATCCAATTTTTAAAGAGATCCTTTTTTATTTAAATTCATTTTTTGTTACATAATGTAATGTTTTAAGACTAGAAAATAACAAAACATTTCATTAAATAATGGTTTAGGACTAGAAAAAAACGATAAAATTATTTAATTTAATTTTTTTTTTTTGGATAACAAAACATTTTAAACGAGAAAAAAACGATAAAATTATTTTAAACTTAAAGCTTCTCTGCGATTTTCTCCATAAGGGTTAAAAATCTTCCGGATAAATTACTGTGCTGTCGAACAGTCTGAATTATTTCCTCTGAAACGTGCTTTGTTTCATCCGCAACCCTTTCCAATATGTCAGTTTGCTTATTTAAAACCTTTAACAACTCGGCGCTAAGATTACGCTTTCTTGTTGCAGGTGAAGGTGATGGTGACGGCATCGGACATGCTGGTGATGGTGACGGCAACGAAGGTGACAGCGGACATGATGGCGATGGGGACGGAGGTGATAATGATGGGTCGAATGGCGGCAACAATTGGGTTAATGTTGAATTCTAAAAAGAATGAACTTTATAAATGCATGTATTTATATAAATAAAATAAATTAGTTTTTTACCTCGGAAAGCCTCAAAGCCGAATTAACGGCAGTGCACCCTACTATGCGATGCACAGCATTATAATGCTTCCAAGGCGAAGGACTATCCCCAGAAGGGCCAATTTTTGTTTTCTCCTCTCTGAAAGTAGAGTTTTTTTTATTTTTTTATTTATTTATAAAAGCTTATACAATGTTAATAACATATGTACAACCTAAAACATGCAGCGCTAGCTTCAGAGGCTATCGGCTGTCCGTTGAATAAATGTGTTGGTTTAAATTCTCCTCAATAGATCACATTCTTTAAGAAAACGATAGATGGTTTTTATTTTTTCTTTTTTTTTCGTAGCGTTAGAAAGGAGGGAAATCGGGTCTGTGTTGAAGTGGAATCTCTCTTATCTTTCAGTGTTGGACAAAATTCTCATACAAAAGCGTAATTGATGACRGAGAGTAYGAGTGCCTTGACAACCTTAATTAGCAAAGATGGGCCAATGAGCGAACGCTTGCATGCTAGGTATTTAACAGTATTTGAATTTTTAGTAATTATATTTCTAATATATCGACAATGTTGTTTGAATGCATATTTACTATCTAGAATTAATCCAAGAAACWTAAGTGTAGGAGAACATGAAATATTTACATTGTTGAATGAAATCGGTGGAAAATGACAATTATGTTTTTTACAAATGTGGAGTAAACTGGATTTTAAGTACGATATTGATGCGCCTGCGGGAAGGGACCATAGGGATAGTTGAAAAAGGATTTTTTCAAAGGTAAAGGATATAGAACTAAGGTCAGAAGATTTTGAAAATAGAAGGAGATCATCAGCATATAATTGATGCTGAATAAGAGGGAAGGAAGAAAGGATAGAGCTGATTTCATTAAACGCTATGGTGAACAGAATAACTGATAGCGGTGATCCCTGAGGAGTGCCGTTATCCAAAGGAAGAGTCGGTGAAGATGTGCCAGAAATAAGAACTTTGATTTTACGTTTAGAGAGAAAGGATTTAACAAAACTAAATATACGGGGACCAACCTTCCATTTGATTAATTGTCTTAAAACTAGATGTATGCCAAAGAGATCAAACGCTTTTACAAAATCAAGGAAAAGATTGTTTGCAATATGTGTTTCATTTAATAATACTAAAGAGTGCTTATTAGACGAGTATTCAGAGGAGAAATTATAATCAGAAGAGATTGACGAGAAAAATTCTACAGCTATATCCTGTAGATATAGTAGATTGCCTTGAGAGGAGTTGATATGTATGAAAAATGTAAGTTTTAATTGGAATTTAATATCTAGAATTATGTATCTATGGATACTTGGGTATGTGATTGTGAATGGCAGGAGGGTACAGGTGAAGTTGTGGAACGGGTTATAGTGGTAGGAGAAGTAGTTGTTAAAAGGGGTGAGAAGGATGGAGAGGGAGAATTGTGTAGGGAAGAGACCGAGGGAGAATGGATTGAGTGTATGTTGGTAGGGGATGAAGAATTATTGTTTGAAGTTGTAGCTTTAATGTTGTCATTAGAATTATTAGTGTTTGAATTTTTTTCGATGTTGATGTATTTTTTTGAGTGAGTATTGTTGTTGGAAGCAGTTACATTAGCATAGGAGAATGGTGAGGGAGTAGAAGGCATTTGAGATTTGTATAAATTGATGGCTTCACGCATCGAACATTTGTGGATAGTTTTAATTTTAAGTATTTCTTTAGACTGGACAAGTTTTGGACAGGCGTTAAACGAAGAAGGGTGTTCACCATCGCAGTTAGCACATTTGACTCTAGAGCATTCAGTGGGAGGGGTATGATTTGGGGGTAGGTTGCAGATAGCACAAGATGGGGTCTTATTACATCGCTTAGCAGTATGACCCAGCAACTGACAAATCGTGCAGGCGCATGGGATTAGGATAGTAGGGACGGATATCGAGGGTACACCAGGCAACTTCAATACGACTAGGTAAAGTATATTTATCAAAAGTTAATAATAAAGCACCAGTAGGTACACGATTACCATTGTTTAGCTTCGTAAATTTATAAACATCGGATACACCTTGATCTTTTAGACCATCAATTATTTCGCCATCAGCAAGCTGACAGATAAATGGAGCGTTAATTGTACCCTTTACTGAGTTCAGAGAGTTGTGAAGAGATATATCAACAGCACCAGCTCCGGGAAGATTTTTGGTTTGTAAAAATTTGTCAGAGATTTTTGGTTTCTTTACCAAAAGAAGTAAAGAAAAGAAGAAGTTTGATTACGAGCTACTTGGCATCATCCTTCTTAGAAATATGTAATTCCGGGAAGAATTCCAGCGTTGAATTTTCTGGCTTTTTCTCCTGTTTTTAGGACCCGGGGATAATAGTGCAATGGGATTAGGATCAAACCTATTATCCCCCAGCTTGTTGGCCCCAGGGGGCATTGCGAAAGAGTTTATGATCTTACCCGATTAAATTGGGGGTTTAACTTTATAATTAAAAGTATAAAAAACACGTGGAAAGTGTAACGAATTGAAGCACAAAATGTCAAAGCTAGGTTAAATTGCCCGTACACTAAGTAACGAGAAGGTATGCAGCGAGTACGTATATGTGCGCACGATATGAAAGAAATCAAAAGTACACAACCACGAACACCGAACGACTGGAAAGTAGAGTTATTAATGTGTTAAAAGAGGAATTAATTATTGAAAAAACTCACCTGTATTTCTTTGTAAAATTTTTCACTTTGCAGTTAATTTCATCGGCGGTGAATTTTTGTGCCATTTCATGCGAAATCTCATTATATATATGGGCATTTCGCTTTGCACGCCGGAGGTCATGGGAACGTGCCTCCCACTTTTCCAGCAGCTCCAACTCATTTTCTAAAGTCCACCCTGAACGCTTTGAATTAAAACAAAGATAACAATTTTCGTTTAGAAGACAATGCAAAATACTAAAATTACTTACTTTTTATCTTTAATCGTCGCTTTTCAAAATATCTTTGTTTACATTTAAACGTAAAATGGCTGTCACTGTTCTTATTTTTCATTCACAATAGAATACAGCTGTCAATTACTAACAATGTTGCCAAAGAAAATCCCACAAACTCCCTAAATTTTGAGAGTTATGTTTGGATTCAGCAAAGGAGTTAGCTGTGGTAACTCCTGAATTAATCCCGAAAAATGCAGATAATCCGGTTTAACGCTGCCATCTGTCGGGGTTATAAGCAGCAGGAAATGTTTCAATAGAGGGATTCTCTTGCTCTTTCCAGATTGCACGATGACACAAAATGCAAAAGTATAAAAACTATTTTAAAACTTATCTTCCTTAACAACTAAACGGTGCAATACATGGTTGCAAATTTAATTTTACGTGCCATTGCACGAATTGCATCGATGCCTGTATTGGATAGATAAATAGAGGAGGGGGATTCTCTTGCTCTTGAAAGATTGCAGATAGCAGAAATCGTATACAAAAATATAAAAGGGCACGAGAGCACCCATTGCAGTATCTAGTGATATATGAACGGCTGATTCGGTCAATTTATTGTAAATGACTATTGTGCATTGTTATTGTGAATTGGCACACCTTCAGCATTTATTCTTAACAAAAAAGTTTTACAAGTCTGTATAATTTAAATACCAATTATAAATCTGTTTAAAAACTTTTTTCCTCATAAAAAATAACGGTGAAATTGTTCTTATGTAAAATAACAGCTGGTACAGGGTTGCATTAATATTTTTACTTGTCATTGCATGAAATAAGGTGTGGTCTAACATATTTTACAAAGAACATTTTCCTGCATGTGTTTTTTTATTGTGTCGCTGCACTAATTGGAAAACTCTAGAATTCGTACAATACGTGCAAGAGTTTTACAGAAATCCCTAAGATGAGTTTCTACATCTTACAAAACCCTTGTAAGGTAAATCAGTTGCAGATTTTTCCACCTTAAGCAACGGCACAACAACACACGCAGAAAAATATTTAGAAGGGCTGTGAAATATGTCAGAACATAACCCATTTTTATGTTTTTGCAATGAAACGTAAAAAAATAATTGCAACCTTGGGCACAATTCCGATTTCTTTAGCACAGCGATTTGAAGGTACCGTTGGAAAGAGGAAGTCCTTATCATTAAAATATATATATAGATAGGTACCGCAAACGCTTAGTTTACGAGATATTCGACCTTAAAATTAAAAAATTCGAACATTTGAATTAGCTATTTCACCACATTAAACACACTTTATTCACATTTTTCACTCCAAATTAATTAAATTTCACTATAAACTTTTAAATAAATCAACATTTTACACTTCTAGCAGGTTTTTTACCTAAAAAATATTTATTTTAAAAATTACATTTTACACTCGTTTGAACCTCATTTGTTTACCAAAAATTACGACGAAATTGAGCACTGCCATGTGATAATAAGGAAATTCGTTGAAATTCCTTTTTTTCGCATAAATTCCTCTATTCATGTATAAGGATATTTTCGTTTTTAAATTTATTAAGCAAATAAGTAATATTATATACATGTATTAGTAATATTAAGTAATATTATATAAAAATATTACGTAATAAAGTGTAAAGTATACAAGTACCGTACGAAAACTCAAAACTTGTTTCAATATGAGTGCATGATAACCAAAAAATATAACTACTTTATATTCAAAACTCAAATTTTAAATATAAAAATATGCGTGTCGTTACCTAAAATACAAAACAATAGGTACCCCTATTCGGTTGCTCTTGCAAAACACTTGCACGGTGTAAGAACTGCATAGATTTCTTCTTTGTGCACCGGCACAACAACAAACCCACGCAGAAAATTATTTGCAAGGGCTGTAAAATATGTCAGACCAAAGCTCATGTATATTTTCGTGCAGTGTCACGCAAAAATATAATTGGAACCCTGTTTTAGCTATCATTTTACATAAAGACATATTACGTCGTTAAATTGTTGAGGAAGGCAAGTTTTAAATAGATTTTATAATTTCTACTTAAATTATAAAGATTTGTTACAGGTTTTTTGTTAAAAATGTATGCAGAAGATCCGTCAATTTACAATAGCCATGCATAATAATCATTCACAATAAATTGATAGAATCAGCCACATGTATATGTATGAAAAGTGTTCACGGATTAAATTTTAGCTTTAAAAATCTTCTTAATCGTTTTGTATAATTAATAAAGAAGAAAAAGTCACCCGAAAGTAAAAACAAAGAAAACGCAGTGAAACGCTGAAAAATACTTCACTTTTGGTTTTTAAGGTGTGGTAGATATAAACACTCATAAATATAAACACTCTAAACTTATCAGCCATAAATTTGATAAGTATTTTTAAATTACTAAATTTAGATGAAAAATTACAAAATAAATGTGAAATATGAACATATTTCAATGCTTGCGGTGTATATTTAAATATACGTGTAACAAAACTTGAAAAAATTTAGTGAAACATAGAGTGCAACATTTTGAATATTTTAAAAAATATATGTTTATTTTCATATTATTTTTGGAAATTCCTCCTTTGGGGTTAAGCGAAAGTACTTAAGTCATCCCGGGTATTCGCTTGACCTGGGTTATTTTTTTAGAGCGCGGCCGAAGGCCACCAACACAGAAAGGAGTACTACGCGAAAGTACTTCAGTAATCTCGATATAATATAAATTTTATAATATTATCACAGAGTTTTAGTTATTTGTGTTTATTAAATATAAATCACATATTATACATATACATATGTAGATGGAAAAAGTGTTCACAACTCAATTATAACTTAAAAATGTTGGAAAGTATTTTTTATTGTAATTAATATAGAAAAAAGAATCACGCAAAAAAAAAACACAAACAGAAAAATGGTTAAGAATCCTACATATTTGGTGTTTAAGCTGTGGCAACGCTCGTTTTCCTCATAATTGTAAACAATCTAACCTTTGCAACGCCGAGTGCGCTAAGTGATTTTTAAGTTAATAAATTTAGGTGAAATATTAGAAAATAAAATTGAAATGTGAACTTATTTCAATGTTTAGAGGGTATATTTAAATATGCAGAGTGAAAAACGTGAATAAATTTAATGGAAGATAGAGAAATACCTTGTGTTATTAGTGACAATTTTTGAACTTTTAATCGTAAATATTTTTAAAAATATAAAGTTATTTTTATATTATTTTTAGATATTCCTCCCCTGGAGGAGCTCCCCTATCCGTACGTACCCCATTTCAACGGCAATTCGGTTTTTTTATTCCTACGCCAAAGTAATCGGAATCGTGCCCAACCTTGCGCTAACTGTCATTTTACTTAAATACATATTTTGAGTTTAAATTGTGAAGGAAGGTATTAAAATTTTTTACAGTGTATTTGTTAAGAATAAATGCGGAAGGTGTGCCAAATTCACAATATACAATAAATTGACGGACTCAGCCGTTCATATATCACTACATTCTGCAAAGGGTGCTCTCGTCCCCTTGTATATTTTGGTATATGAATTTTGCAATCTGCAATCTTGCAAGAGCAAAAGAAACCCCTTCCTCTATTTATCATCCAATAAAAACATCGATGCACTTCTTGTCCACATTAAATTTACATCGATGTTTCGTACATCGATGGATATCGGTTATCTCTATTATGATATTTCATAGCGCTTGTTGTTTTTCAATTTGTTTTCTATTTGTCTGACGGAATGGTACGTTTAAGCATAATTGCATTTGCTGTTAAGCCTCGCGTTTCACTCATTAAGTTTCGAAAAGGTGGACATGCGCGTATGGACCGTACAGAACGTCTGTCGTCAGTGTCTACTGTAAGTTGCAGAAAAGAGTGGTTGTGTAATAATGACAGCATCAAAAGAGTGGGTAAATTTTAGAATTGCATCCCCGGATTTCGGGGTTAAAATGGGTATGTACGGATAGAGAAGGTCCTCTAGATTAAGAAAATATATATATATATAGTTGCCGCTGATTTATAATTTTTCAGATAGTTGCATTTAAAGTTCAAAACTTCAACTATTTAAGATGCGTGTTTTTCCCATTTATAATGAATTTTATGTTTATTTTTTTAACTTTTACATCCACTAAAACTTCACTAAATCGTTTCTAACCATTTATTTTATATTAAATAGTGCAAAAATAAGTTTTATTCAACATTTAACTTTTGTTCATTTATTTTTGTTCGTAATATAACAAAAGCGTTGCATTCTAACTAATAACAAGTGCTACCTTACGTTCATATTTTACAGAAGAATAAAAGAAAACAAATACAAACCCCAAGGACACGAAATATATAACACATTGGTTTTCAGCATAGAATTCCTTCGGCCGCGCTTCAAAAGAATAATCCTCGGTCGGACCTGGGCGTGCTCAATTCTTATGCGTTGAACTCCTTTTTGCGTTTGCGGCCGCGCTTCAAAAAAAATAACCCTCAGGCGGACCAACACCTGGGCGTGCTCAGTTTTTTTGCGTTGCACTTCTTTTTGCCCGATTCAACACCGGGATTTATTAAAATAATGAGAATTCTGAAAGATTTTACATTACTCATCACACGAAAATGAATTTAGTTATGACATCATAATCTCAAAAACCATAAGTCAGCAGCAACTATCTGTATATATATTCTTGATCTGGAGTGTATAAGGTTTGCTTATTACTTTACTTGTTTTATTTTCGTTTACGATTCCGATTCCGATTACATTATATAATTATATAATGTGTAGATAGGGTAATACTTATTATTTGACAACACGGAACACTTACATATGTCATTGTGCATATAGTGAAATTTGTGTAAAAAATAAAATACTTAATTTAAGCAAAGGCACAATTCCGATTTCTTTGGCGCCGCGATCTGAAGGTACCGTTGGAAAGAGAAAGTCCTCCTGATTAAAAAATAAATAGGGTTATAGGTACCACAAACGCTTAGTTTAGGAGATATTCCATTATAGCGAAAAAGAGAAATTTCAGCGAATCGCTTACTATCATATGGCAACGCTCCATTTCCCTATAATTGTTAAATAAATTAATATAATTGTAAATGATGCTCATTAAGAGTGTAAAAAGTGATTTTTAAAATAGAAACTTCTTACTTATAAAACTGCAAAAAGTGTAAATTTTGAATTTGTTTAAATGTTTAGAGTATAACTAAATTAACTTGAACTGAAAATTGTGCATAAGGTGTGTTAAAAGTAGTGAAATAGCTTTTTGAAATGTTTGAATTTTGGGAATGTTCGAACTTTAGAGTTGAATATCTCGTTAAATAAGTGTTTGCGGTAATTTTTTTAGTGCAGAAAGAAGAACTACGCGAATCATATCAGGAGGACTTCCTCTTTCTAATGCTACCTTCGGATCGCGGCTCCAAAGAAATCGGAATTGTGCCTATTTCCGGTTTTGTTAAATAATAACAATTTATATTTATCAAAATGATTTTTAATACTCTTCAAATTGATGAAAAACAAACGAAATTCTTACAACAACGAATGCTGTGAACAGTAATCACAAAATACTTCTTATATCTGGCGTCAAAAAGTGAGTGTACAAAGAACAATAAGTGATGGAAATCCTAATGGACTTATCCCACGGTAGTTGGCGCAAATTGTGGAGTCTCCCTTTTTTTGGAAGGCATCTTTGGCCACATCGTCCTTCTCTTCTATCGCTAGGTGGGCGCAAATCAGCGATATGTTGAACAACCTCGATTTTATGCGTATTGTGGCTAGACGTTCATTCACCGGATTGAATGATAGTACTCGGCGACGAAGTCTCTCCCACCACGAATCCCACACCAAGTTTGCGGTCTTTTATATGGCCACTGTAGTAAACGCCACAAGGACCTACTTGTCTCATTCCTTGTCCCGTCCATCGCATTTCTTGGATAGTGGTGATGTCAGCCTTATTTTCACTAGGACATCCACCAGCTGGGAAGCGGCACCTTCACAATTAAGGGACCCGACATTCCAGGTGCACGCCCTCAAATTCTTAGTCCTTAATTCGTTTGACATGGACGTCATCAAAAGGGGTTCACTCATCCGAGGACTACTTTGCGGACGGAATGTTTCGCCTTCTCACGTTAGCTCGCCTTCAAACCGATGTTCCTAGACTACCCAGAGGATACTTGGATAGATACCGGAAGTCGTGAGCCGCTTGAGCCATATGTAAAAGGATCGTTTCTGGCCACTCCCAAGTGGATGGCGATCAGAGAACTTTTCTCACTGGCGTGAATTTCTACCCATGAATTCAATTTATTTAACAATAATAAAAGACTTATAAACTGTCAAATAATCAGTGTTACCATACTAACATATTTTACAAACTAATAAAAATAAAATAGAAAGATAGATTAACAAAACGGAATTTTACGCGAAAAAACCCTTGATACACCCCGGTGTTAGACGACTAAAACTATTTATTTAAAGTGCTGCCGAATGCCGACTTGAGAAAAAACTTGATACACCACCGTGTTGGAGTGATGGGTATTGTTTGAAGCGCGGTCGAGGGCCTCACGCAAAAATAGAGTTTTACCCATAAAAAACTTGGCACACCGCAGTTGCGACTAATAAAAAAATTTTTTTTTGCGATACACAACTGCTTTTTTTCTCTCTCGATAAACATAGGACAAGAGGCATCCTGTCGTAGTCTGGAGTGCAGTATACTGACGTCTGCCCTTCATTTCATCCAGGCGGCCTTATTGGTACGTAGTTAAGGACCGGCTGGCCGATTGCCTTGTAAGATGCCCACAACGTTTCTTTTTTCTTTCCCCTTGTGCTGCCGGCTAGCGACTTGAGGATTTTGTTACGACTCTGTATTTTGGCAATAATCGCGGTCGTATGAGAAGTGAAAAGACAGACTGTCAAAAGTCAACCTAAAATCGTAGGATTATTGACAGCCAAAATCTTGACGCCATCGATTGCAATATTAAGGTCAAGTCTGCACTCCGTCCACTTTGTAAATATTTTCGTTGTGGATTTAATGGGGGAAAGTGTTAAGTTCCCTGCAGAGAGCAAGCGAGAAAGTTCGGAGAGATAGCTTTGAACACATACCATCGATTTCATTGCTCGACATCAATATCGTGCAATCAACAGCATATGAGGTTATAGAAACTCCCTATGGTGGCTTCGGGGGTTTCGTACTATAGAAGCTAAGCAATAGCGAGGAGAGGACACCCCTCTGCGGAACCCCTTATTTAATTCTCTTCTCGTTCCCTCACAAGGTGGTGTTTAGTTAAGGCCATGAACTATCTGGGCGCATATGACGCTATTTTTAAACAATGGCTACAAACCAAGTTCATAAAACCAATATGAAAGGAATCAAAACTAGGCATTATTTAATTTAAACGAATTTCGCAAGGAACTGAATTTCAATTTATAGTATTTCTAACTCACCAAAATAAAATGAACATTATCAATAAAATTTTCATTAGAAGTTGCAATAAAACAACCGCATGTAACGAAAACGGGAAAGAACCAATCACTTTCTATTTCGTGTTGTTGCTGATACTGTCTATTCAACCAATTGGCATAAAGTTGACCTTGGAATAATTTTGTTCAATAAAATAACTTACGCACAATGCACTCAACTAAATAAAATGAATGTTATTTCTACATCAATGTATTTTTTCCCCACAAACAATACTTGCAATTTCAAAAAACTCCAACGATCCTCCAATCTCTGGATCTCATCCCTGAAGAGAGAATTCGGATGGTCTGCAAAATACGTTTCAATAGCCATTATGACCTCCCTATTTGATGAAAAATGACTGCAACGCATAAGTTTTTTGAGTTCTGGAAACAAATGGATGTCGCTGGAGGCTCCAACAATTCGAATTTTAATTCATGGATGCTCTTTTGACACGGTGCATTGTCCTGAAGAAAAGAAAAAGGATTTTTTTCTTCAGCAAACCGGGTCTTTCTTCACGAATTTTTTCCTTCAACTGGTCCAAAAGGTTGCAATAATTAATTGTTTTATTAGTTTGCGAGTAATCCACAAACAAAATTCCTGCCGCATCCAAAAACCGATGCCATAACCTTCTTTGCCGATTTCTGGACACGAACTCCAGGTTCACACACCACTCTTTATTCTCTTGTTTTTATTTAGGATCATGATGATAGACTCCAGTCCCATCCATAGTGATGAAACGACAAATAGAATCCACTTTATCTTCTTTAAAATGTTTCTGAGGAATTCGCAGTCGAACGTGTTTTTGTTCCATTCTTAGCGAATGCGGCATCCATTGTGCACACAGCTTTCTAAAACCCTAAATTTCACTTAAGATATGGCTCACACTTCCTAATGAGATGCGTAGAGCCTCTACTAAATCGCTTTCAGTCAACCGACGATCTTCCAAAACCATATCATGTATTTTGGCTTTTATTTCTAGTGTTAATACGCGTTTTGGACGTCCTTAATTCGATTATTCGACTATGTTTACATTCAGCAACTCATCTTTATGCTGTTCTAATTATAGGTGAGCAATCATTATACACTTTTAAAATTCGTTCGTGTTTTTCTTTTATTTCTCCACCTTCCAAAAATAAGAATTTTATTACTGAACGATATTATATTTTTTCCATTGTAAAAAATACTATGACATTGCGACACTAAATGGCTTGTAAACAAAGAATGATTTGACAGATTGAATTGAAACTTCACATACGTTCATATAAATGGACTATCCCTATCTTATCGAACGACAAAACTTATTGAACAACCTGGTATGTTGGTGCAATTTATATACAAATGCGACGAAATGTACTTCTGTATACGACTATGTTAAGTGTGGCGCAAAGAAGAAATAACATCGACCAATGCAAACGTACTATCGCGAGGAAAAACTAACGGTCAACGCTCAACTTATGGTCAACATAATC